TTGACCCTTGTACTGAGACAAACAATGCCCTCCATCCCTCCACTTCTCTCTCCACTCCAGGCTTGGAAAGACTGAGTCAGAGCTTTCCTTTGCCAGACCAGTCGCACCACCCAGACTACATTTTTTCTACATTTCTCGTCATATTCCTTTTTCTCCTCCACTGCCTGGATACTATGTTCTGACAAATCCCTGATCACCCAACTATCCCCAAATTGCCCCTCTCCTCAACCCCTTGCCACCCCAACCAATGAGAGTCTGAGGGAAGAGGGGCACCCTGACTCTTAGCTGCGACTATCTGTGGCACCATTCAGACACAAGTGTAGAGCACAGGCTTGTAATCTCAGCGTCTGTGGAAGCTGAGATACAAGGGTTGTAAGTTTGAGGCCAGCCTGGACAACTTGGCAAGATTCTACCTAAAAATAAAAAAGGCCTGGGTATATATCTTAGTGTTTAGGCCCCGGGTTAATTCCCAGTACCAAAACAAAACAGTTAATGGGCTTCACAATTTTTTGTAAACATCTCTATTAATCCTTTGCTAATGAAGTCATTCTCCTTTGACCCACTTAACTTATTACCATTCTTGTTTATATATTATAAATATATATATATATGTATTTTTTGCTTGTTGGTTTGTTTGTTTTTATATACTCTTGCTTGGCACGATTTTTGCTTATTTTTATCAACTTTATGTAATCCTGTGTATTTGGCAAGATTTGTGGTTTTGCTTAGAAATCAATTTACAATAACAGTGAGACTGGTTAATGAAGGCCCAGATGAAGGCCCACAGGAATATCTGAGGAGAGTTCCTCAAGTTAAGTTTCATGCTGCCCGTTTAATCACAAACATTTGATATTTACAGTTCTGATCACCAGGATTCTCCTAAAGCCAGAGGAAACATCTGGCATTCAGTCAAATGCTCTACTTTCACAACTAAGACTCAGAATGAAACGAGTAATCGCAGATCAATGAGCAAACTAGGAGAAGGTCAGGCTAAATTCCAGATTTGCATTCTGCCTCAAATAATCACAGGAGAAAAGTGGGGGAGGTGGTTGGTGTGGACAAGACTCATTCTTTTAGAACGTCCCTACCTGGAGAAACCCCAAGGGGGGAGCAAAAACCATCCAATCCCCAACCAGCTAAGTCACCCTCCTTTTCAAGGCTGTGCTAGGCGGAACCTGAAGCCTGCAGTGAACAAATGCAAGTTTAAATCACTGATGGTTGGCTTTAAACAGGAATGACAACATGCTTATTAACTAATCCTTCAAACTGCTGTTTCAAAAGCAACATCTGAGGGTGAATCATTGAAACAAAAACATAACCAACTCATCTATCACCTAACAGGAAACAAAGGAAGAGGAACAACTCCACTAACTTGTTCAGGGTTTCTAATCCCACAAGCCAGCCTGCAAGCCTGAGCCTGAAGCCTCAGACCTGCCCGGCTCCACCTCTTCGGCTTTGCCTCCAGAACCCCTCCAGGGAGGGCTGGTCTCAGGCAGTCTGATAATGCTTTTCATTGCCTCCTGGCTTCTTGACCCCCGGAGCAAGATGAATGGAGGTGAGACCCAACGCAGGTTTACAAAGAGGCAATTGAGTAATAAAAGTTTGAAAAAGAATTTTTTTCAACTAAGTACTAAAATTTGCTTTGCAATTAAGCCTAATTCATAAAAGGGATATTAAAAACCAACTCCATCCTAGATGTGGAAAAGAAATTATTAGTAGTTTCTGAAAATTCATGACATGACCTGAAAATGTTTCCTTTTTTTTTTTTTTTTTTTTTTTTTAGGCTACAGAGGAATTCTTCATCTGATTTGAAACGCAGCTCTAATGGAGGAATTTAGAAACTAGATTGTGCCTTGAATTCATGTGATCTCTATCCAGACAATCTTCCTAGTATCCCAATCAGATCATGCAAATTTCTTAAGAGATAGTTCAATTGTTCTTCTCTGCTTTGAGATAAAAATCTGGGGTTAAAGGTATAATTCTGTGGTAGAGCGTGCTCACCATGGCCATGCACAAACCCTCGATATTATGTCTAACACCAAAAACTAAAACCAAATCTACAGTTAATATACTTCTTTATTCTCTGGCCAGTTTTTCCCTCCAGAATTACTTTTGCAGACAGTAATTCACCTACTTAGAAGCAAGTTCATTCTGGGAGCCCATCGGTAAATCAGATTGTTTTCTAAGTCCGACAAGGTGAATCTTACATGCCTTTGACACAAATATACAATGTATATTACTTCGGACTCCCCAGCTGTCCCCTGCACACTGCCACAGCTTTCCCCCTGCTTCCGACATCCCAAGCTCTGACTGAGCACTGAACTACTGTACACTCTTGCACTGCACACACAGGGAGTACAGCTGTGACAATGTCAGATTTGCTCATATCTACAAAAATTTCATAGCTGTGAAAGGGTGCAACTCAAATGTTCATGAGTCAGAGATTTACTATGCTGTTTCCAGCTTCCTCCCCGATCCTTGCCTCTTCCCTCTTCAGATCTCTCTACCTGCAGGTTTCTCTCCATCCACAGCCCCTCTGCCTGGCCATCTTTTATGTTTTTCCCAGAAAGCCTCCCTGGACTTCTTCAGGTGGCTTACTTGCCTCTCTCAGAGCACCCAGCAATTTTGTCATCACAGCACTTTCTACAGTTCGAATGTAGTACCAAGGCTGTGGGTTTAATCTCCAGTGCCACCTCCCAAATCTTCAGTGCTTGGAAACTAGTAGATTCTTGATAGCTACTTGCTACATCAGTTTGAATTTGGGGAGGGGGGAGCGGGGAAAGGAAAGGACCCAAACTAATGAGTACCCATCAGTATGAGGCACAAAGATAATGTAGGTAAGTCATTCTTTTCATCTCCAAACAGCTATAAAAGTAAGAATCACTAACCCACTTTTTATGGGAAGGAAATTGAATCTCTGGAGTTGTCCTTTGCACAAGATGTACAGCTGTCAAGAGTACAAAATCCTCGTCAACAGGGTTAAGTGCCCTTTGTGGCTGAGAGAGCCCTGGTACCAGCAGGCTTTAATGTGCAGCCCCCTGCTGTCTTGCACACCTGGGGCAGGCTGCCTGGAGCATTGCTCCATCTGGGCCCCGACTCATCCCGCAGGCATGGAAAGAACCAGAGGCAGCAGGCGGACAGGGTGAACTCCACCTGCCTACCATCCTGGAAGGGTCCTGTGAAACAAGGAAATTCAAGATTTAGGAGACCCAGAGACTTGGCAGATGAGAAAGTGAAGAAGGTGTTTCCTGCAAAGAGGTTCCTCACACAACTAGGATCTCACTCCAAACCAGTCAGTTCTCTGTGCTGGGAAGCTTTTAAACCTCTCCTCTTGCAAAAGGCCAAGGGTGGTTATAAACTCCGTGTAACAGCGAGAACCCACACATTGTGGCCAGAGAAAGCAGAGTTTCTGATCCACACCAACAGAAAAGAGCCACATCATTCTACACAGATAAAAGCAAGTTTATTATAAAAGTACAGCAGATATGAGCACAGTCAAATGATATATTACCACACAATGAGGCAGGAGTCAGCACCAAAGATGGAGAATCCTCTGGGGAAGGCTCTTGTACAAAACAGAACTTTCAGCAGGCAAGAGAGAAACTGCCAACACTGTACCCAGTTTGTTAGTTCTTAAGTGCTGTGTTCAGACAAAAGTGGCTTGGTGCCAGCAGGCTTGCATGTCTTACAGCAGAGAATGTTGGGTCTGGTTGAGACCAAGGACACTCTCACAGCGCACTCAAGGCTATCTGAACATAACATTTCTTTCCCAGGGAAACAGCCAGCTTCCCTGCAAAAAGGCAGCAGCCAAGGTCATGTCAGCAAACACCTGCATTTCATATTCTCATCACTTGTAATCCTTTTCCTGGTATTTGGCCTTAAAGTCAGCAGAATGGATGGTGTACCCTGAAATAGGTTGTTGTGCAATCATGTTACACATTGTGTTATAAAATGTGTAAAAGCTAAACATAGCGGGGCGGGGGATTTAGCTTAGCGGCACAAGCGCCTGCCTTGCAAGCAGGCAGTCGTGAGTTCGATCCCTGGTACCGATAAAAAGGAAAAAGACAAAAAAAAAAAAAAAAAGCTAAACATAGCAAGCACTGAAACAATATAGAACGTAAGTAAGGAGTTGGACAAAGCTCAAAAGTAACACTGTGCAGAAGCAGAGTTAAGGGATTCATCATCTATCTAGTCTGGGGACCAATAAAACATATCATCCTCTCGGTAGAAATCACATCACGCATTAGCGCTAATTTAGTCACATTACTGCCTGCAAATCACACATGTTGAACACAACACAGATATCATGAGGAACATACAGTTCAACAGTATTTCAGTAATGTCTGCTGGTCACAGTACTGTCGGCAAAACACAGTATGTTTGTGTTGTATGAAGTGGGTCCCATTTCATACAACACAGTTGTTACATATAGGAAATATGGTAAATGTATGCAAATTATTAGAATGCAGAAGACGGCACCGTTTCACTTTTCTGATTAATGTCAATCTATTTAGTTTATACCAGTAGGCACACAATCATCTAATTGCTATGTAACATTTTTAGAGTCCACATACTTTCCAATGATTCGAGGAACCATAAAATGTTGATTAACCGTAACAGGCAGCACAAGAAAAGGACACAACGCAGAGACACTGCGGGGAGCATACATTTCAGCAGTGTTTACTGGTGCCCACAGATTCGAGCTCATCCGTGTGAACACGGCATTAAATGTCCCAGCTGGCAAAGAAGCAGGGTTGAATGGCAGCACATGTAACACTGTCCTGCTGGCCAAGAACAGTGGCGTTCTTAACCCAGGGGCAGTCGCTGTTGATTGGAACAAAATTCCTGGAGTCCAAGCGTGATGAGATGGCAGCAGCAGAAAGACTAGACCGCAGTAAATTAATCAAAACTGTTCTCCAAGGAAAACGATCAGTAGGCACAATCTCAGCAGCATCTTGACCGGAGTAGGTAATAGTCTCTCTGTTGCCAGGGCCCTCGACTTAGCACTCGGGTCTTTCCACCCTCGCCTCAGCTCCAGCTGCTCTGGGTAGGTGCAGGGTGCTGGTGCAGGTGATCCTGCAGCTGCTCTGGGTAGTGCGAGGTGCTGGTGCAGGTGATCCTGCAGCTGCTGTGGGTAGGTGCAGGGTGCTGGTGCAGGTGATCCTGCTGCTGCTCTGGATAGGTGCAGGGTGCTGGTGCAGGTGATCCTGCAGCTGCTGTGGGTAGGTGCAGGGCGCTGGGGCAGGTGATCCTGCAGCTGCTGTGGGTAGGTGCAGGGTGCTGGTGCAGGTGATCCTGCAGCTGCTGTGGGTAGGTGCAGGGTGCTGGTGCAGGTGATCCTGCAGCTGCTCTGGGTAGGTGCAGGGTGCTGGTGCAGGTGATCCTGCAGCTGCTCTGGGTAGGTGCAGGGCGCTGGGGCAGGTGATCCTGCAGCTGCTGTGGGTAGGTGCAGGGTGCTGGTGCAGGTGATCCTGCAGCTGCTGTGGGTAGGTGCAGGGTGCTGGTGCAGGTGATCCTGCTGCTGCTCTGGATAGGTGCAGGGTGCTGGTGCAGGTGATCCTGCAGCTGCTCTGGGTAGGTGCAGGGCGCTGGGGCAGGTGATCCTGCAGCTGCTGTGGGTAGGTGCAGGGTGCTGGTGCAGGTGATCCTGCAGCTGCTGTGGGTAGGTGCAGGGTGCTGGTGCAGGTGATCCTGCAGCTGCTCTGGGTAGGTGCAGGGTGCTGGTGCAGGTGATCCTGCAGCTGCTCTGGGTAGGTGCAGGGCGCTGGGGCAGGTGATCCTGCAGCTGCTGTGGGTAGGTGCAGGGTGCTGGTGCAGGTGATCCTGCAGCTGCTGCGGGTAGGTGCAGGGTGCTGGTGCAGGTGATCCTGCTGCTGCTCTGGATAGGTGCAGGGTGCTGGTGCAGGTGATCCTGCAGCTGCTCTGGGTAGGTGCAGGGCGCTGGGGCAGGTGATCCTGCAGCTGCTGTGGGTAGGTGCAGGGTGCTGGTGCAGGTGATCCTGCAGCTGCTGTGGGTAGGTGCAGGGTGCTGGTGCAGGTGATCCTGCAGCTGCTCTGGGTAGGTGCAGGGTGCTGGTGCAGGTGATCCTGCAGCTGCTCTGGGTAGGTGCAGGGCGCTGGGGCAGGTGATCCTGCAGCTGCTGTGGGTAGGTGCAGGGTGCTGGTGCAGGTGATCCTGCAGCTGCTGTGGGTAGGTGCAGGGTGCTGGTGCAGGTGATCCTGCTGCTGCTCTGGATAGGTGCAGGGTGCTGGTGCAGGTGATCCTGCAGCTGCTCTGGGTAGGTGCAGGGCGCTGGGGCAGGTGATCCTGCAGCTGCTGTGGGTAGGTGCAGGGTGCTGGTGCAGGTGATCCTGCAGCTGCTCTGGGTAGGTGCAGGGTGCTGGTGCAGGTGATCCTGCAGCTGCTCTGGGTAGTGCGCAGTGCTGGTGTAGGTGATGCGCGCGGGCCAACTCAGCCAGGAAGCTCCTCACCGAGCCGAGGTCGGAGCGTGCGTGGGGCGCCAGCCCCAGCGGCCCAGCAGGCGGCGCCCTCCGAGCTCGTCCCCTGGGCTCCGCCTCCGCCGCGCGGGGGCCGTCCGACCCGCGAGTCCCCTCCAGGCGAGGGCGCAGCCGCGGTCCGCCGCGCCCTCGGCCTCACCCTCGCCCTCGTCCTCCGCGGGCGGCGGCGCTTGTCCCCGCTCCCGGCAGGTTTGCAAGGCGGCTGTGAGCGGCGGCGGGTTCCCATTGTAAATCGTCCCGCTTTAATCCCCACGCACCCCGACCCATTGGTCCGTCTCTGAGCGAGCTGTGGGTGTGGCAAGCGTTCCAAACACTGAATATCACACCCGGGGGGTGACGCAGAGGCCCTACAAGGTGGCCCCGGCCGTTAGCGGAGCCGTGCGCGACGCCAGGTAGCGGCACGAGGAGCCCGGGGGCGCAGAGACCGCGGAGAGCCGAGTGCCGACCTCCGCCAGCAAGGTTTCGGGCTTGCTTTTTCCTCTTCTTTTTTCCCTGGACTACTCCAGCTCGCTGCGCTGTAAACAATGCCTTTGCCTCAGAAGTCGCAGTGAAATAGGAGGCTCCTGAAGAGCCTTGATCGAATTGCCAAATGCGGGCTTTTGAAGCTCCTCAGAAGTTTACTTGAACTGCAGCCCGAACTACATCTTTTCCACGAGGGCTGGACACACTTCAGGAATCTGATGCTTCCCCTGGGAGTGTTTTCCTCCCCTGGTGGAAGCCACACTCCTCCACCCCGCTGTGCCCTGCCAAGGCTGACGCTGACCACTGTCCAGCGGACAGATGCCCTCCCGGAGCCAGCCCACTGTGGGGCTCGAGGTCTGCCCGGGACACCAACCTGGGAATACTGGACACCCCGCCGCCCAGGCCTCGGTTCCGGGTCTGCCTGCTCTGCTCGCCCACCGTGGGTGGAGCACTCACCATTTCTTAGCTTACCTGTTTGTCTGTCCCCCGCTGGATCTTCAGCTCAGGTGGGGAGACGTTTTCTTTCTCCCTAACTCACACATGAACGCGGGGGGCTGTGGGATGAGCAGATTGCTTCAGCTTCCCCAACCTGGGCTGTGACGGCCTAGGGAGTTCTGCTACCAAAAGGCAATCCAGACAAAATCTCAGCTTCAGAAACCAGCTGGCAGTGTTTGCTTCCTTTGCCCTTCAGCTAGAGTTTGAGGGAAATAACCGCATTTTATATCTTTTATCTCTTCCCTCTCATTTTGCACCCACACATACATAAATAAAATTTACTCTGAAAACTGGAGCCGTTGAATTGTTTATATTTAGTTGAGAGATGTTTATCTTGAACAAACCTTCCTCATAACCCTGTGCAGAAGTGGTACTGAGTAGTACAGGATTTAGGGCTAATTTTAGCAGAATGTTGAAAGATTTATGCGATCTGAAGAGAAACCAGAGTATGGGAAGGCTAATTTTAATGCTCAAAGAAATATGAACATTTTTGTTTTCAAAAGAAGGAATTCATGCTTAACCCTCTCTGATACTCACTTATAAATGATTCTCCAATTTTATTTAAATATTCTGGTGCGTGCTGCCTTCTCTTATATGTTCATTTAGCAGTGCTGCCTGACATTTCTCAAGATTTTTTTTTTTTTTTGATGTTAGGCCATAAAAAAAGCAGGTTTGTCTCTTTACTGTAACACCTCAAATACCCCCAGCAAAGGTGAGACGGCTAGTCATGCTGAGCACAGCCTTAGGATTCCCACTCCCTACGCCCTCTGTTTTTTTAATTGATTGACAATGTTCTTTCCACATGTACAGACTAAAATATTGCACTTTTCTGAGGCATAGAAGAACTAGATTTATTTATTTATTTGGCATGAGGGATCAAACTCAAGACTTCACACTTGCCAGGCAGGTGCTGTGCTGCTGAGCTAGATCTCAGCCCTTATTGACCGTATTTAACAAGAGAAAACACATGGTGTCACTAGAAGAAGCAATACCTCTGATTGAACTAAATATTCCCTGCAGAAAGGAATAATGCAAAGCTTCATTTGCTCTTCTGAGAACAGAACAGGCAAAAGTTTAAAATTTTACACCCTGGATTCTACAGATTATTAAAATATTTGGTAAAATGATTGAGTATACTTAACTGAAAGTCACAATATTTTCAAATACAACATTTGGAAATGAGCTAATGGCTCTTCATCTGTTTCTCAAATGAATCATAGATCTGTCACAGATTCCAGTGGCTTATCAACTTTACAAAATCATAGGCCATAATATAGGATAAAGTTTCTTGGGAGAGCAGTTTTAATGAATGGTGAATGGCCTAAAACATTTTTAAATTAAAAACTACGTTTGAAGAAATGGGAAAAGCAGAGACATTTCCATGAATTTTTTTGTGTGTGTGTGCTGGCAATTGAACTCAAGACCTTGTGTGCTTGCCAGGCATGCGCTTGTGCCGCTGAGCTATATTCCTGACCCATTTGCATGAATTTTTAAGATAAAACCGGAAACTTTGAAGAAAAAAAGCTTTTTGCTATAATACTGGTAGCATCATTTGACCAACCGCTTGCCACATCTGTTTGCACTTAGGTTTTCTTAAGGATGATTGGAGAGAAGTCTTAAGATTCCCTATCATACTGACATCAGTCAGAGCTCATTAAATGACCTTGAAAAAAGTTAGTTAACTTCGTTTTTATCATTCTGTTCCTTCCCGTTCTCTTCCCTTTCCTCCACTCTGTTTCCCGCTCCTGGGTCTGCTAACTTCCAAGTAAGCTCAGTTAATGTTTCTGTTTCCTTTTGAAGGCTGCCTCCTGACATGTTAAATGAAATATCAGTCCCAGAAAGACAGACACCTCATGTTTTCACCTAGACATAGACCCTCTTGGGTTGGGGCCATTGCTCAAGGGTGGAGCATTCATAGGTAAGGCCCTGAATCATATGAAAATAGAGAGTAAAAGGCTTTCTTTTTCTTTTCTTTTTTCTTCTTTTTCCTTTTTTTTTTTTTTTTTTTTTTTTTTTTTTTTTTTTTTGCAGTTCTGAGGGTCAAACTCAGGGATTCACAGAATACCTTCTTATGATTTGAGCACAGAATGGGTTATTATGGTTGACAACCATTGTAGATTCCAAAATAGCTAGTGAGAAGAGTTTGAATATCCCTAGCACCAAGAAACGATCATTTGGATGTTAAAAATTTCAAAGATAGTAACAGATAATGGATATTTACCCTGATATGTTCATAATGTGTTGCATACATGAATTGAAATAATACACAGTACTCATAAATATGTACAATTATGACACATCAACTTACAAAACTTTAAATATATTAACAAACAGCAGCGACAAAGGTTGCTTCCTATTTGAGGATACCTACCCTTGAGGATGGCAATGAAAGTACAAGCTGTTATGAACTCTTTTTTTCTTTTCTTTGTGGTAACTGTCTTTAAGTACCTAGGTATTGTGCGTGAGACCCACGGTTTTAGACCGCGCTGGTTTTCTAGGTCCCAGCCCCTTTCGTGAGCACGCCAATTCCCAGCATCCACAGGAGCTTCTCACGTCCTGCTTCTGTGTCTCTGACTCTGGTCTGATCACGTCCCTCTGCCCCCTTTCTGTATATTCCTTCAGTTTCTGTCTCCCAAGGTCCACCTGTGTTTCCTACTTCAAAACAGACAGAAGATGTGAAGGCAAGAGCCCTTTTCTTTTAAAATTCTGTACCCCACTGCTGCATTTCCCACACTAGCGAGAGGTAGACAGAGTTGACAGTGCCATCTTATGTACTATATCAGCCTGTGTTTAATTTTTCCCATTACTTCAATTCTTTCCATTTCTGCACACTTGAATAAAATTTCCAAAATGAAATTTTCTAAAATTGTAATACAAGGCCACGTTCTAAAGTATTTGGAAAGAATAGATGGTCGTCTAACTGGTGGGTATAGTTAAGAGATACTGTTAACCTAGTAACACCCTCACTTCAGCCCTGGTGACTAAGACAGGAAGGAAGTGACCATAGCTGGCTGCGGGAGAAAAGAAAGACACAGATTGTTCATTATGTTCTAGGGCAATCATGGTGAATCCTTTTAGAGATCAAGTACCCAAACTGCAACCCAAAATTCACTTAATTATTGCAGACTGCCAACACTGCAATTAACCCCAAATATTCGCTGCTCCGCTGCTGGGGTGATTTGGCTCTGTGCCCGCTGCAGCGCTCATGCTGTAGGCTCACCACCACTGCTCTAGGGAATCAAAAGGTCGAGGCCAGGAAGAAGCAGACCAGGACAGGAGACCCACCTGTAGGACACATTTATCATCCCCTCACCCACTGAAAGTGTTACTTAGGAGGAACATGCAGGGAAAGCACCGGAAGGTGTGACTGTGGACTTGACTCTAAACCCTGTCATTTACCACGGCACAGTCATGTTTCCCATCCAAGCCCGCGGTAATTTAATGCTGGGTCTTGAGAGGTGTGCAATTAACTCATACCAGCACAGGGCAGAAGTTTTAAATTAGACAGATGTAATGTACATTAATGGCCTTTCGTGACATCAAAGGAGTGGTTTGGGATTATTTTCTTTCTCTAAATGGGCTTTGATCTGGCATGCAGTCTCTCATTTGCCAGAAGTAGCGTGATGGCTGGAGCCTCTGTGTTAGAAATGGGCTGCCACTTAAGGGCGTGCTGTGGGGCTACAGCTGCCATTCACTGAGCGGGATTTGCTCTGTGGAGATGGGATGATTATTTTTTCTATTTAAAACCATGCAAAATACACCCAGGAAATTTTAGTATAATTGGCCAACAAGTATTAAAAATAAAGACTCCTTGGGGCAGGAGGTATGGCTCAGTGGTACAGCATGTACTTGGCATTCAGAAAGCCCTGAGTTCAATCCCCAGCACCAAACTAATTAAATAAACAGCCTTTAAAATACTGTTACTATGTTTGAAACTTTTTAACATATAAGACAAGATTTCAGAATTGATGTGTTAAATCTAATACTTGAAAGAGAAAACGCAAAATGTAACCTTTAATTTTTAATGTTTTTGCTTGTTCTTTTGAGATGCTGGGCTTCACACATGCAGCTACACGAGCGCTTTACCACCAAGCTGTATCCCAGCTCTTCTATTTTTTAAGTCTTTGTGTGTCCTTCTAATATACACAAATAAAGAAAGAGACGCACAGACACACTCAACTCCAGTAAACAAAACTGAAAATCTTGAATTTTTTTTAATTAGAAGAGTTTGAGAAAGTTTTGTTTTCTTGTTTGTTTCTGTGGTGTAAGAGTTGAACCCAGTGGCTCTCATGCTAGTGCTCTACCACTGAACCACATCTCCAATTCTTTTCATTTTCTATTTTGCAGCAGTCTCACTGAGTTACTCAGGGTGGCCTTGAACTAGAATCCTGCTGCCTCACGCTCCCAAAGAGCTAGGATTACAGGCAGTGCCACCACATCTGGCTAAAATATTATTTTGTGAATGTCAATTAATCTTGTGACCCAAAGTGGACATTTGTCGCTCCTTATTGGCTTCCACCATCCCACATTTGAAGAAACCCACATATACATTAAAAATGTGGGAAATGCAGAGACAGTTGCTTTTTCAGGTTATATTGCTTCTGGACTGAAGGTCTTTCCCCAGGATCCTACTATCGGACATGCCTCTCATCGAATTGGGAGCCACTGATTCCAAGAAGCAGAAACCACACTGACTCTGTTCTGGTACCGGTGGCCCAGTGGTAGGTCCTCCTGCGCCCCCTCCCAGAGGCAGCAGGAATAGGCATTCCCTGCACTTGTCAGAGACTGATTTGGCATGCATGTGGCAACGTGAGTTTTAGCACAGTTCCAGGGCTCCTGTGGCCTCTGAAGAGTCTGTGATTATCTTACTTTTCTGTCATTGCTGAGACAGAATACCTGACACCCAGAGTTAAAGGGGGAAAGGTTTATTTAGCTCACTGAGATTCCCCTCATCCTGGAAAGAA